TTGTGTACATTTTATCAGCTGTTGAGGCAAAAAAAGCGTAAGGATCAACTATGAGGTAGTAAAATGATCTCCCTCCTTCCTCCCCTCCATGCCATAAGCAGTCGTCTTAAACCCTGAACATAGACATACATGTAAATTGTAAAGGCACTCACGCCTTAAAATCTCCTTCACACTCCTTAAAACGCCTGATTCAAAAGATCAAGGCGTGGTCTGGAGTGAAGCACTTAGCGGCGAGATAGTGACATTCCTGCAGGCGGAGTCCTTTTTTGAAAATGATTGTTTCTTGAACCGGGAGGGAACTGAACTACTCATACTCACATCTGGGCGCGACGTGCTAGTTCACTGTACCACTCTTTGTGCATCACGAACCTGCTGGAGCACCTATATTCTGTATTTAGACATTTTCATACATCCTGTGTGTCGTCTGGTTGCTGCATCCTGTGCAGCATCCTTTTTCAACAGTTGCAGGCTTTTCGTGTTATTTTCGTGACGGACATTAAAAATACATCGCTAAATCTTCAACTGGCTAAGCATCCCTATAGAGAGAATTACTGTGCCAGTAATCTTTTTGGGAGACGAAAGGAATGTCGAAATCGTCAAAAGGCTATCAAAAAAGATGATAAGTAATCGAAAAAACACGATCAAGCCACGTCGAAGCCACATTTAGACGATATCTCATCATATGTTTGGAACAGGATGGTGATGCCCAACACACACTACTAATATCTCGAAACAGCAAAGCCTTATCAAGTGCTTTTGTCGGAAGAATCGCTCAGCTTAGAGTACATCAGGAGGTGTAATGGGGGTCAGAATTACATATCTGTAAACATCAAGACTATAATTACGATAATTCTGAGCTGGAGTGGGATGTTTCCCGGAAAAGCGAGTGATTCAACTAAAACTATTCGCGTAACTCTTTTGAACTTGTCGAATGGAAATTAAAGGTACCATTTGGAGGTAGTGGTTGATGAATAGTCGGTTTGTCTTTGAAAAAGACTAGAATAAGTATTAAGCTGGCAATATTAGCAAGTGTGGCAACGTAAATTGGACCAGTATAAATATTCAGATAGAGCGCGTTTTCGATAATAATATGTCCTGGATATGCCAGCGAAGAAAATACTAATTGAAACACTGCAACAATTACTGCTACTGCATCAGGATCAGTAACTGGATCAGTAAAAGCAGCATACAAACTGATGTCATCCACTTCCTCCTGTATTTACTATTTCAGTACTAAATTCAATTTCAGTATTCCAGTGCCACCGAAACGATTGAACAAGCCGTGGAAGGATTAACTGTCTTCCCGTCGGAGTCATATCCTATACGACAACAGTTATTGCAAATTGCAGTATTAAATTTATGAGCTCTTTGTGAGCATCCGTAGTACCAAAATTGGTATTTGAAAACTTTTTACCGTATTTTTATTAATCCGTTGAATGGCGAACATAGTACCGTTTGTAGCCTTGTTATACTAATAGGTCGTAAATACAACCTCATGAATGGAACAGCCAGTCACCTTACGAATCATTCATTCGTTTCGATGGTAAATTGGTACTGGCATATGGCAAGGGACTGTTATCCACTTTATTTCTAAACTATCCCTGAAAGAGGGATCTATCGGTAGCTTTTTGTCTGTGCATGATTGCAGTTAACATGTACTGCTTGGGTTATTTCTCGAGTGCCTTTCGTTTATGGAAAATGAATTCTGGAAAAGGTTTCAACCTGCTGGCCATACATTTTTCTGACCTCTCGCTGAAAATGTGGTTGCCGATGACACAGATCGTTGGTATATGTTTTGCTTTTGAATTTAGATATCACTGCCCATCTTTCCTCCTTCCTCTCGCCTATTTTCCCTCTCCGCCCACATCTTGTTTTTTGCTTTCCTTTCAAAAAAAGGCAGATTAGCCTCTCCTTACAAAAACAACTGACATGGTCCTACGCTAACGGCTAGCATTAGTGCTAATCCAAATAAGCTGACGGCCATAGCTCGATCCTTCACTGTGCTAATTTTTGCTATGTAGCCACGCATTACACTTGTGGTACCTGCAACACGGAACACAGAATTCGTAACGCCAGAAACAAGTTTGTGAATGATAAGCTTTGCTTAAAAACTGTTCGAAAACAATAAAAATTGCGTGGGAGTTTGAAAGCAAACATCAAAAAATTGGAAATTTTTAGATAACGGTGGCAGAGTTCAAACCCAAAGAAAGAGTAAATCTTTGTTTCATTCCCACCATAGTGCTAGACTGATTAGAGTAGAAGTGAATAAG